ATTGATTAAAACTATTGCGGCGTTTTTCTAAAAACGCCACTATTGATTAACACTATTGCGGCATTTATTTAAAAACACCACTATTTATTATCACTATTACGGTGTTTTAAGAATAAATGCCACTATATGTGTAATCTATTACGGCGTTTGTGGTATAAACGCCGCTAATTTACGATCTATTACTGCGTTTTAGCTAAAACGCCACTATATGTTAAACTATTGCGGCGTTTGTGGTATAAACGCCGCTAATTTACCACTCTATTGCGGCGTTTTTTAACAAACGCCGCATTAAACCACCTTATTTCATTTTTTTTTGTAAAAACGCCGCTAAATGTCAAATATATTGCAGCGTTTTTACAACAAACGCCGCTAAAGTATCAATTTGTGGCGCTACGATTGTAAACGCTGCTATATGTTTAACTTTTGTGGCGTTTTCTCTCCAAACGCCGCTAAAAACGCCGTTATATATCGGTTTTGCTGTAGTGTGAGCTTTCATTTTCAAATGGTTGGAAATCTTTAAAACAAATAATAACTTATGATCACCCTAATAAAAATAAATTAAGGTACGACTCAATATGTTTCGATCAATGTCGTCTCATTCCAATCCATATCAATTGATACGATATTTTAACTTTTTAAATTATTTTTAAAATTTATTATCTTAACTATTTTATTTTTTTAGAATTAAAAATATAATATAATCATATAATTAAGTTATTGAATTTAATTTATAATTTTAAGATTTATATTTTTGTTTAGATATATTTTAAGCGTGGAATTGAAGTAAATTTATATTATATATAATATTTGAAAAATAACAATAAATCCCAAACGATACACCAAAATATGATTATACATGTATATACTATTAAATCCATTGAGACACTCAGTGGTAAAAAGAGATGTTGTTCTTCCTAAAAGATTTGGGCTTCAATAACTATTGTACCTGCATGGTATGTGCGTACAATAAATTAAGAAAAATTCTAAGCATGTACTAACATTGTGGTCATGTCATACTATTAAAAATGACTTATATGCCCTTGATAGTTTTATTATTATTTTTAATTTGACAGTCTTATTGAAAAACGAAAATTTATAATAAGGGTTTACAACTATCATCCTAAACTAAATACATAATTTGAACATTTTATTATAATATTGACACAAGAAACTAGTCACTTTAGAACATATAAGGGCCAAACATTGAAGATATTAAAACCCAACCAAAAGACTCGAATGAAAAATAAATACAAACAAATATGGCTACATCGGCAAATGAACCATAAAAGGAGATTAAATTGCTCAATGACCACCGATAACCATAAATCATAACCGAACATCGTGAGAAACTATCAATGAAATGTAAAACCGCGTATCTAAATTCAATCGGAAAGTCCAAAGTAAAGAATATCAACATGATTACAAATAAGTGTTATCTTGATGAGTCATGACGCCGTCAAATTCAACAATGAGAAAACATAAAAGAAAAAAGACAACCAAACAATTGAGAAAAAAGAGGAAAAAATCGTACCATAAAAGCATAATTATTTTTATTAAAAAAGTAAATAAGAAAGTGTAGACACCCATTTTTGTTCGGATCTATAAAAATATTTTATTGTATTATTATTATTTTTTTATAGGCCCTATATACTACCCCACCATTACCTCACTCACTCAATCAATACCCAACAACCATGTTTAACCCAACGTATCACAACTATACCATTACCCCACTAACTAAAAATGCTTCCATTTTTCCCGCTTCACTCTAGATTCCATTAATTCTTCTCCATTTATAGTCCTTGCACACATTATAAAAGGGGAGGGTGGGCTCGGCTCTCTCTCACTCTCGCGGAAGGAGGGGTGCTTCAAAATCCCATGGAAAACCAAAAAAATGCTTCATTGCCTCCAAACCTTTTAGGGTTGAAGATTTTAGCATTCTTCAATGGCAGAGAAAGAGCCATCGTCGGAGCCCAACCCACCAATTGAAGACATGGATCTTGAAACCATCAATTCATCCGACCAAAACTCCAATGCCAAGGCCGACGCCAACGGTGACTCCAAATCCAAGCGCGCGAGAGAAGAAAATGGCGAAGAAACCGATAATGCAACCAAAATATAGAAGCTGGAAAAGTCCGTAGAGGACGAAATTCTTGAGGACAAGTCGGACTTACCCAAGTCGGGTCCTATACGGCTTGGTCGAAAAGAGTTCGGGTCCTCAGCGGAGATGATTGATTACTTTGTCTATTTGCTTCATAATTGGGTAATTCTCTAATCTCCCCTCACAGACAAATGCCTATAATGCCCTTTGATACCGAGTGCTTGTATTGAGGAGGATTGTTTTTTATATTTACTGCTTCAATGCTGCTGTTTCAATTCATAAAATGTTTCAGCTTTTTAGTGAGAATGTATGGCTGTGATCTAAGTTTTTTTTTGCTTTGCTTTACGTCATTTCCATCAAAAGTTCATGATAAGAATTTGGTGTCTGAAAATGAAGAGAAATAACAAAAGGCCAAATGAATTCACGTGAAAATCAAGGGTTTTATTTGGTTTCATATAATTTTTGGGTTAATTAGGACACAAGTCATTTAAGAGTTTCTCATTTGTAGTTCTGGAGTTATGTTTTTATTTCTTTCAATTTGGTCTCTGTTTATACTTTGTGAATTAACCCTCTAATTTTATTTTTTTGCAGTTCATTTTTTAGTATCAATTTTAGTCCACAAAGTCCAATTTAATTCATTTTGGCCCTTTTATTTATTTATTTATTTACTTTTTTAATTTTTATTTTTTCTTCCTAACATTTTTTAATTTCAAACCTTAGCCTTTTTCATTTCTTTTATATTTTATTTATTTTATTTTCTCCTTACTATTTAGTTAATTTTTACTCGATATTTTTATTTATCATCTAACATTTTTATTTAACATATTCTTTCAGTCGTAATTCCAACTGATCAAAGGGTAAGTAATTTGAATCGGATTTATAAATTTAAATTTAAATTTTTAATATTCGCAATTAAAGGCAACTGACAAATTAATTGGTATCGAAAGGGTGGTTCAAGGGTGCTAATCCTTCCTTGACCGTAACCGACTCTCGAACTCGACATGTTTCTGGTACAACGCAGATTAGGTAAGATAGTATCCGACCCACCTAAATTCGTTTTAAAGTGGTCGGTGGCGACTCTAACCCAATCAACTCCAGTCGAAGCCCAATTCCGATGCCCACACGAAATACGATCGCGACCGAAAGAAAAAAGAACCGAAAGTCAACGATCAATATCAAAATTGATATTGTCGTTAACTAAACAAAATTTAAAATAAAATTGATATGATATATAGAATGACTGTCCCTTTTTCCTGGGGTAAGGGAGAGGTAAGATAGTAGGCTACCCCCAACACCAGGTTGAGAGCAGCTTCTGTAAGAGACCTCCGAATTATGAAATGCCCTCCGTGAGACTCAATCCCACGACCTCAAGGTTAAGAACCTTGTGCTCTACCAACCGAGCTGGATGGTCATTTCTGATATGATATATAGAGAACTACACAAACTCTAAAGAAGAAGAAAAAAAGTCTAATTACATACTTAAATACTACACCCTTAATAGTTTTCAAAACTAACTACTAATCCTATTTTTATTAAAATCAAATATTAATTATTATTTTATTTATTTGTATCATCATTAATAATAAAGTAAAAAAAAATTATATATATTACAGATGAAGAATAATCTCTACATATATAATGTAAACGTTAATATTTATAAAATTAATTATTTTAATAATAAATATCTTATTTAGGATTTAGGAGTTTAGATTTTAGAGTTTTATAATTATTTTAGATAAAGATTATTATGGACATCCAATTGAGCCCAAAAGTGTTGCCCAACTCTATTAATTCAAACTTATCACAAAGGACCCAATTTGGTCCATAACACACGTGGCAATGGTTTGTGTCATAAAGTGAAGATTCTTTTTGGAAATTATTGGTAATATTTGTGGTGGTTAGCCATTACGAGTGGGCCTAAATCAAATCATTATGTCATGTGCCTTTTGATGAGACACTTGTTGGTACAAAAATGCCGACTTCATTGCAAGCTTCCATTTTTCAAGCCATTTTATGAATGAATGCAACAACTTTAATTTGGGATTTGGGAATTAAGATTCAATGAACACAACTAGGGATTATTATCATTAAAATTTTGAAATCTTTTCTTCACTTTTGATATATATAACTCAATCATCTAGTAATCCTTATTTAAGGCATTTAATATCTCGATTATTATTTTTATTTTATTTTTATTAGTGCATTATTTTATTTTAAAATCATATTTAATGTTATATTTTTATTTTATTTTTTTCATCTATTATTAAAATTTTAACAGTGATGTGTCACTGTAAGATAATATCACGTAATCATTATTTTTTTTAAATGTCACATCAATAATTATGTTATTTTTTAATAAGGTGATCATAATGAAATCAAAACATAATTTTAGATATAATTTTGAAAAAAAAATAGTTAGATGACTAAAGTAAAATAAAAATGATAGTTGATACGTAAAACGTATAACTTTTCCATTTAATTTATTATTTTCTTATTTTGAGCGATATAATAAAATATTTTTATTAAAATTAAATTTTAATTGACATAAATTTTTTATTTTAATCTTGAACAAATCTTTCCCCCTCCGGCCCTCCCCTGTATAAAATATATATCATTCTTGTATTGTTTTGTTTTTTTTTTCTTCTTCTCCATTTATTATTTGATCCCTGGTCATTAAGATAAAATCCACAGTTAATATTTTGAACCGAAATAGTTAGTAAGTTATATAAGGACTGGATCTAGAATTTTAATCATATAGAAGGACCAAAAGCATCATTTCACCAATATTTCAACATTATCTGTCACTGCAACTTCTCTGCGAAGTTTATCGACAAATTTATGAAACAGAAATAGTTTAAATTTACTGATTCAAACTTCAAAACAGAAGGCTATTCAAACAAAAATTAATTAAAAATACCCAAAAAAGAAACCATTAATTCACCACATATTGCATGAATTCAACATCGTATTCAATGGCGGCCATAGTTTCAGGCGGCAAAACAACTTCCAGATCTACGCTTCCATTGCCTTCCCGCCCCGGAAAAGCCGATATCTTGCCGTCAAATTTGTTAGCGCCGCCGCTCCTGACCGCCAACGGTCGCCCCCACCCAAAATCGTTATCGTACATCGGGAACCGCGGCGAACTCCCCATCGTCATGGACGCGCCGTCGAAGTTCCCCAAAGGGAAACACCGCGGATCCTTCTCCCAGTTACGGACAAAACGGCGCACCGTTTCATCGTCGTGGGCCCTCACGCTCACGTTCAACTGCTGCGCGCACCAGCGCAGATCACGTGACGTGACGTCACCAGCTGATGCGTACGTTGGAATGCTTTGAATCGCGTTCCCGAAATACAATGGGTCCAGCTTCGGGTTCAACCTGTGACGGCAATTCACCGCCATTCTAAACGTCGTCGTTTTGGAAGCCGGCAGCTTCCTAGCACGCGTCACCGCTCGCCAGAGAAGAGCCGAGAGTGACTGGAACGATGAAATCTCCGCCGTTTTCGAAACAAGAGCCGTTTCAGTGTAGTGCTTGTCGTTTCTTTGTTTCCCGAGAATTTCAACGGCGTTAAAGTCGCCATTAACGACGCTGTTGTTAACTTTGGCTTTGAGTTCCAAAATGGCTTCTCTGTTGAAACTGAAAATTCTCTCCGATAATGGTTCGTTTTCGTTAAACGTAACTTTGGGCCCGCCTTCAGGGGCTTGTAGAATCGCCGGTGAAATCAACACCGATTCCCGCGAAAAATCCGGTTGCCTCGCGATTCTTTCGATGCTCATGTTACTATCGTCACTGATTATTCTGCAAATTTCAGCGAAATTGTTGAAGAAGTTCCAGAACGACGTACCGTCAGTCACCGCGTGGTTAACCGAACAACCGATGAAGATACCGTCTCCGAGCTCCGTGACTTGGACGGCCATGATTGGTTTAAAATGGCCATTGTAACTCACCGTCTTGTCGAAACAGAAGAATCCCTTCACGAACTGCGGAACATGGAGTGGACCAATGACATCACGAATGAACGAAGTTGTACACATTGCATGCTGGAATTCAACGCCGGCATCGTTGCAGGTGATGTAAATGTAACCTTTTTCGTCGGTGTAAAGACGGCCGGCGAGGGGAGGGAAGAAAGACAGCGTCTTGGAGAGGGACTGTTTGAGGAGAGAAACGAGTGAATTGGTGGGAATGGAAGGGCGATTAAAGAGACAACCTTTTTGGATGTAATGACATGACAACATTGGGAGATCCGAAACAGAAAGCTTAAGGTCTCCAAGGCTTGATTTTTGGTCTGGGAAAACCATGGTTTTTGAAACCAAATTAACAGACATGGCTGAAGGAGAAGAAGACGAAGGCATGGTTTTTTTGGGAGGGGAATTGAGATGAACTCTCTTTCTTCAAAGAAAGTATCTTGATTGGGGAGAAGAGAGAGCGAGGGAAAAGTGAAGGCAAATGGAAGAATATTTATAGGGATGAGGGGTTGCATGCATTTCAAGAAAGTGATTGCCTATAATCTTATTTTATTAAATTAAAGTAATGCCTCTTTGGCTTTATTCTATTTCACAACTCTCATGTGACATCAACTTTATCTTCTCTTCTCTTCTTCTTACACAACAATCGTTTATTATTTTGTTTTTTAATTAATTATTTATATCATTATTAAGATTAAATATTAGATTTGTTTGTCAATAATCTTTAAAACAAATAATTAAAAGCTTTTAATTGATATCTTTCCTCTCTTAAATTATAGATCTAATACTTGTTAGAAGCAAATTTCACCTTCTCCGCTTCATATGTATTAATAGTTCAAAAAATATTATTTTTTGAAACGTACATTAAATATCATCTTTAAGAATATTTACGAAAAAATACTTCTCTCAAAATTAAAAAAAAATACTTCTTTTGAAAACAGAAAATAAATATAAAAATAATTGAATACTCAACTTTTAAGAAAGTTTATTTTGATAAAAATAGTTTTAAGCCTAAATATCGTACACACGAGATCATTTCTCTTATAAGCTCAATAATTAGTTTTTATATTTAAACAAAAGCCAAGGGGGTTACAATAGGTGTGAGATTTTTTTATAAACAATTCTTATATAAGAGAAGGAAATGAGAATTTTGTTCCTAATTGATATTGAATTCATAACTTAAGAGAAAGGGAATGAGTCAACTGATAGTTTTTAACCATTTATTCTAGATATTATTGACAAGCATGAGATTCTTTTAAAATACATGTAACATATTCTAATATAGGGTTGAATATATTACGATTATCAATTCACTCTTTTAACATTACAATTATTGATTATTAATGTGGTTAATAAATCTAGGATAAAGTATACAAATAGTCATCTGATTATAGAATAATGCTTTGTTGAGTCCTCCGACTATTTAAGTTAAAAAATAGTACCTCGATTATTGGGAGTTGCTTTATTGAAATTATCGACTATTAAAAGTTACAAAATGGTCACTCGATCATTCGTTATGTTCCAAAGTCATCATTTTTCATTAAAAATTTAACGATAGCCAGAGCTGGACGTTAACCTGCTGACTGATATACGATAAAATATAATCTCATAATCTGAAACGACTATCATATCTCAGCCAACATGTTAACGTTCAGCTCAGACAACTGTTAATTTTTATCATTTTCTAACTTTTAATAGTCAGGGGACTCAATAAAATAATATCATATAATCGGGGGACCATTTGTATACTTTACCCATAAATCTATTGATTATGATTATTATTGTAATTTTATTTCTCTATTATAATGATTAATTTTGATTATAGTTATAAAAATAATTGTAATTTTAAAATAAGTTATGAATTAATATTTTTTAATAGGTGGTTACAAGATAGTATATGTTTATAATTTTCTTAATCAATTAACAATACATAAATTTTGTGGATGCAATTATTCGAACCTAAAACCTCACGGAAAAACAACATTCCTCTTTACCATTAGGGCTACTTAAATAAGTTCAACTCAATATTTATTAAAGAATTTATAAATCTATTTTCATATATCATAATATTTATTACATAATCATTTAAATTTTGGCTGTATATTAATTTCAAATATATTGATGATGTGATAGCAATGCAATTCTCAAAAATCTCCATTATCTTTACCTTCTTTTGTTTAATGTTCAAGTTGTTGTTAATTTAAGCTAATTAATTAATTAATTAATTTGACTGTACAAGTTTGATGTTAATTTAAGCAAGTGGGAAATGCTAGTGGGTAATGAAAGAATTCTGGAATTTTAAGTAAGCTTTAGCTAGTTGAGGAATATAGCACTAATTTTAAAAGTTTGAGAATAAGGATAGGAATGATAATTTAATCTAAATTTGATAGGTTTTAGTTTGATTTAGCTTGACGGCATTGAGTCTGATTTTGTAAAAAAAAAGTGAGATTATGTCGAATTTAAATTTAGGGTGAAAATCTCTGACACGAGAATAGATTAATAATTGACTGTACAAGTTTGATGTTAATTAAGCAAGTGGGAAATGCTAGGGGTAATGAAAGAATTCTGGAATTTTAAGTAAGCTTAGCTAGTTGAGGAATATAGCACTAATTTAAAAGTTGAGAATAAGGATAGGAATGATAATTTAATCTAAATTTGATAGGTTTTAGTTTGATTTAGCTTGACGGCATTGAGTCTGATTTTGTAAAAAAAAAGTGAGATTATGTCGAATTTAAATTTAGGGTGAAAATCTCTGACACGAGATAATAGTATATATATATGGATGAATGGATGGTTGATGAGTGTAAATAGATAGTTGAGATGAACTCCTTTTTCTTTCTTTCTAGTGAATATATTTTCATTTTTATTGTTAATCTCAACCGTATGTTTTCACTCGTTCAATGGTCTTAAATCTATGTAAAACTAAAATAGTTTTACATAGTGTAATAGGCTCCAATCTCATATATATATATATATATATATATATATATATTAAAGGGATGATTGTTATAATACTCGTCTTTCTATTTTTTTAATTAAGTCCTTGTTTTAACAAACAAAAATAATTTAGATATCGTAAAGGGATGATATTTTTACTTCATATCTCAGGAATCCATCAAAGCCATTGAAAATCTTGGATTTATACCTAAGAAAAGCCCACAACTGCGAGATTTGCATGCTCTCCCCCATCCATCCAATCCACACGCCAAATCTCTTTTTTATTTGTCCTTTTGTTTACAGATTTCTTTGATATATGCTTTCTATAATATCTTATATCAATTTTTTTTAGTCTTAGGTGGTTACAAGATCGTATTTGTTCAGAGTTTAAATTAACTATTGACAACACACACATTCTACCGTCATAGTTGCTATAACCCAAAACCTCTAAGAATAACAACACTCTCTTTAACCACGATGTCACTTGATGAGTTCATTTCTTATATAAATTTTAAACTAAACTATTAATTTAATTAATTATAATTTAATTATAAAAATATAGTAAACTAAATTTAATTAAAATTTGCTTCACAGCGAATTAGAACAAGATTCACCATCTTTTAGAGAGATGGTGCGAACGAGGGCAATTGGACTAGAATGGGAGCCAACAGAGGAAATAAGTTTATGAGCCTCAGTACAGTCAGTTTGACATTAGAATAACTTAAAATTAAAATTATATTGGCTCAGATTTAAAATAATATAAAACTTTAAAATTAAAATTAATTAGATTAAGATTAATTCGATTTAAAACTAACTCATCCAATCGGAATATAAAAGAGAGCCGATTATTCTTCTCACTAGTTAAAATTAATCCATTAATATTTTATTAAATGTCAAGTGTGTATATATTTTATTTTTCAAAAAAAGAATTGATTTGAATCTTTTATTTTTGAATTAAAAAAATAAATAATTTGGCTTAAAATAAAGCTCTACCCAATCTCAATAACTTTCTCAAGATTCCACTGCAAAATAGAAATATTTCCATGCAAAAACACTAAGAATCTCAGTTGTTTTGAATTAACTGTCTCTTTGATTTTAATAAAAAAATTAATAATAACGATATCTTGTACTCTAATTATTATTTGATATACCGTTGAAAGTCGGTTGTTAAGTTAGGAAAGAATCTCTAAAAACCGACATTTCTGATTTGTCGGCGTCTGAGATTATTATTTAATATTTTTATTATAATTTTTTTAATAATTGTTTAATTTGTGTTCAATTGCATGTTTGTAGCTTACTTAATTGTTTGACTTAGATGAAATATTATTTTAAAGATTAGTTAAATTCTGATTACAAACAAAAATGACCTGATAATTTGCCACATGTATGACAGTTCAATATATATACAGACCATGGAGAATTATATTCTTTTAATTAATTGGTTTTTTTTGTTAAATTTATTGTTTCAGTGCATGTAAGCGAGTGTTGTTGCAGTGAACCTAATGGCAATACAGTTCAATAACAACCCTGGTCGGTGAACAATAAATCTGGGTACATTCAGGTATCTGCTGGAATTTTTAGTTAAGGTTCATGTAAGAAATTTTAAATGTTTCTCTTCATGGCAATTTTAAAATGTTAAAATAAAAATTATTTGTAATTATTAAATTAATGTGTGGTTCTAATAATGAAACAAGTCGTGGTTTTATAAGATAATTTGAATTCGAATACTATTATTTAAATGTACTTGAGTTTTATTTAATACTAACATAGAACATATAATATGTGAATTCTATTTCTCTGAATGAGAGCTTAGTGGGATTTTTCAATGGAGCTTAAGGCATAAGGGATCCTCCTATCTATTTGTTTTTCTCATGAATGTTTTCTCCAAACTCCTGGATTTAGTTGCTGTAAAGGGTGTGTCTGGATTTCATCCTAGGTAGCTTGACCAATTTGTACTTGGCGATGATCTTCTGATCTTTTTGTAAAGAATCCTTTGACTCTATTATCGGATTTTATTGTGTTCTTAATCATTTTTATAGGTGGTTTGATCGTGGACTCAATGTTGCAGAAAGTGAGTTGTTTGTCTTGAAGATTGAAGCTAGTCAAAGGGAGGCCATTCAAAAAATTTCTAGATTCACACTTGGTAGGCTTCTTGTTCGATATCTTGGTGTTCCTAATGTAATAAGGAAATTGAGTGAGATTAATTATATGGTTATTATTGAGAGGATTAAATCTAGATTAGGTCAGTGGACAAATAGACATCTTAATTATGCTGGCAGATTATAGTTTATTAGAGCTGTCTTATTTAGCATTGTTAATTACTGGTGTAAGGAATCGATTTTGCCTTAAGCTATTATTAGACGAATTAAGTAGCTTTGTGCTAGATTCTTTTGTAAGGGTTGTAATTCAGTTGTCATGAGTGGAAGGGCCGCTTGGAAGTATATTTGCACCTTGAAAACAAAAGGTGGTCTTGATTTTGAAGGA